GGTGTGAATGTGCTGAATGCATGAAACCCCTTTATTTAGAATTGTAATCAATAGGTAATAAAGTATATTCATTTTGCATTTATTAATGTGTCTTGTGAGGTCCTTTGCTGTTTAATAATTGTTCTTCTTGGGATACAAAAGAACTAGTAGTCACCCTTTTGTGACACTAGCGATGAAAAGTCTGAAAGAAAAAGGAGATATAGCAAGCAACTGAACGATTGAATACACGGGGATTCAAAGCTGAAGGTCCTGAGCCAAAATGAACAATTTGGTTTCAGTTCCTCCCACATTCTTTTCTTAAAGCCCCAAGTTCTCTCTATTCCCGATAGGAAGACATTGAAGGATGTTGACGTTTATGTCAAAAAGGAACTGAAGTTAGTCCATCCTGTACCACAACTGAACACAATTTGAGAACTGGCTACCACCCAGACCTGCCCCTTTCCTAGTGGTGTTAGAGCAGTGGTCCTCAACCTTGGACCTCCAGATGTTCTTGGACTACAGCTCCCAGAAGCCCTCACCACCACTTCTGCGGGACAGGATTTCTGGGAATTAAAGTCTAAGAACATCTGGAGGCCCAAGGTTTGGAACCACTGTGTTAGAATGAATTTAAGAGTGGAGAAAGAGGAGATGGGCAAATGATGGGCACTTTTGCTATTTTCTTTTCCTCAGCCCATCACTGCCAGATGACTGTTACATAAAGGCATGGAATCCATAGCACAGGTAAGCAGAAATATGTGAACAGATGTAATTCTTTGTCTCCAAACCTGCAGGAATTTTGTGTATTTTAATGCCCTTCCTTTTCTTTTCTTTCTTTCCAGAAGGTGCCTAGTTTCTCCATCAACTCGGTGGTCTAGACATCTGGCTGCAGAGCCAGAGGCTGGACATTCAATCCTCCACTGTGTTTCCTTGACACAGGCTGAACTCGAGGATCAATAGGGTCCCTTCCAGCTCTGCAGATCTAAGATGATGACGACGACAATGATGGTGATGACATTTCTTTCCTGAAAAAAAAATCTGCTTCCTGCCTTTAACCACCCACACCTCTGTTGAGTCTTAAACAATTCTTATGTTTTCCTATACTCACTGAGCCGAAGGCACTAAACTAAGGCACTATGCATTCAAAAGGTAGCAAACGTTTTCCCCTCCAAAAAACAGTGCTTCAAAGGTGCTCTGCCTGTATCATATTAGTGTCTTGTGATGACAACTCAATTTGTACCCATAGAGCTGAGACACTTTGCTGTTATCCTGTGCCCTCAAGTTGCTTCCAGTTAATGGTGATCCTATAAATTAATGTTCCCAAAAGGTCATATAATTAACAGCTCTGCTCAGGTCTTTCAAAGTGAAGATCATGAGGCAATACACCTTTCCCCAAGTATTCTTTCCCTCTTTCTTCCCACATTTCCCGGTATTTTTTGCTTCTCCAGTGAGTCTTGTCTTCTCATGATACATCCCAAGCATGCCAGCCTCAGTGTAGTCATTTTAGCTTCTAGTGAGAGTTCAGACATCACTTGATCTAGAGTTAACTTATTTGTCTTTCTGATGGTCCGCGATATCCATAAAACCTTCTTCTAATACCAGCCGATCATGTTTTGATTGACTGTGCCTGGTATTTTTGAATCACCACCATCATCCTTTTAGAACTGCAGAGCTGGAAGGGACCTTATCATTTATCACATCTGTTCCCTATCAAGGAGGCACAGCGGGGAATTAAACTCTCAGCCTCTGCCCCGAAGCCAGATGCCTAAGCCACTGAGTTATCATCTCTTAGACCTTCATATCTTTGCCGATACATGTGGGTTCCACAGGTCTCAGGGGCCTGACTGAAGTCTCAGATAATGGCTGGGCATCTATGGATGTCCCAGTGGATAGAGAAATCTCAGGGCGAGCAGCACTCAGGATTGTGATTAAGGTGGAACAAATGGGGCTCTGCCCCAGGTTGCCAAATTTAGATGGTATGGGTGGAGCAGCTGTCCAGATCCTGAGCCTCTGAAGCTGGGAGGTGAAAGCTAAGCAGTTGTTGTTCTTGTTGCTTAGTCGTTAAGTTGTGTCCAACTCTTCGTGACCCCATGGACCAGAGCATGGCAGGCCCTTCTGTTCCACTGCCTCCCGGAGTTTGGTCAAATTCATGTTGGTGGCTTTGATGACCCTGTCCAACCATCTCATCCTCTGTCGTCCCCTTCTCCTCTTCCCTTCACACTTTCCTAACATCAGAGTCTTTTCCAGGGAGTCTTCTC